ATAAGAATAAGGAGGGGGCAGAGAAGAAGAAGAATAAGACTAAGAAGAATAAGAATAAGAATAAGAAGAAGAAGAAGGATGAGGAGGAAGAAGAAGAAAAAGAAGGAGAAGGAGAAGGAGACGGAGAAGGAGAAGGAGAAGGAGAAGGAGAAGGAGAAGGAGAAGGCTATAGAGAAGGAGAAGGAGAAAGAGAAGGAGAAGGAGAAGGAGAAGGAGAAGGGAAAGGAGAAGGAGAAGGAGAAGGATAAGGAGAAGGAGAAGGAGAAGGAGAAGGAGAAGGAGAAGGAGAAGGAGAAGGAGAAGGAGAAGGAGAAGGAGAAGGAGAAGGAGAAGGAGAAGGAGAAGGAGAAGGAGAAGGAGAAGGAGAAGGAGAAGGAGAAGGAGAAGGAGAAGGAGAAGGAGAAGGAGAAGGAGAAGGAGAAGGAGAAGGAGAAGGAGAAGGAGAAGGAGAAGGAGAAGGAGAAGGAGAAGGAGAAGGAGAAGGAGAAGGAGAAGGAGAAGGAGAAGGAGAAGGAGAAGGAGAAGGAGAAGGAGAAGGAGAAGAAGGAGAAGGAGAAGGAGAAGGAGAAGGAGAAGGAGAAGGAGAAGGAGAAGGAGAAGGAGAAGGAGAAGGAGAAGGAGAAGGAGAAGGAGAAGGAGAAGGAGAAGGAGAAGGAGAAGGAAGGAGAAGGAGAAGGAGAAGGAGAAGGAGAAGGAGAAGGAGAAGGAGAAGGAGAAGGAGAAGGAGAAGGAGAAGGAGAAGGAGAAGGAGAAGGAGAAGGAGAAGAAGAAGGAGGAGGACGAGGAGGAGGAGGAGGAGGGGGAGGAGGGGGAGGAGGAGGAATTCCTGGAATTCCTCATGGCGGGCTCCTGAGTGCAAGCTCAGCCCCTACCAACCAATCACACCTCAGTACACGTACAACACCAAGTGCCTGCAGCCCAAGATGAAAACGATGCCATGCAACCCAGAGAAGGACAATACCACCACCCCGAAAGAGACGACGAAGAGCCACGCTGCAGCCGCCCACGGCACCATGGCGAGCGCCAAGCTTCTTTCAACCATGAGGAATCCAATCCACAGTAAGGCAAGCCGTAGCCCCGTCCGAGTTGAAGATAAAGGCCGTACCCGAGAGGAACACAACAGCGAAGAACATGCCGAGCAGCAGGTACCCAGTACGGCGCGACAACACACCACCCCAGGCAATGTGGCCCACGTGCTGATTGACGTAAGCAGCGCCCAAAGCATGCAAACAAGGGCACTCCAGGCCCTGGGCGAGGGGAATACTAGCCACCACGGCTCGTCCCTCGAGCCCGCAACAGTACACGAAAAAGACCAAGTACCTGCGCCACAATGAACACGATGCCATGCAACCGAGAAAAGGACAATGCCACCACCTCGAAACAAGACGACGAGAAACCACGCTGCAGCCGCCCACGGCACCATGGCGAGCGCCAAGCTTCTTTCAACCATGAGGAATCCAACCACAGTATGGCAACCGCAGCCCCGTCCAAGATGATGATAAACGCCTTACCCGAGTAGAACACAACAGCGAAGAACATGCCGAGCAGGACAAACCCGTACGGCGCGACAACACACCACCCCCACGGCAATGTGGCCCACGTGCTGGTTGACGTAAGCAGCGCCCACAGCATCAAACAAGGGCACTCCAGGCCCTGGGCGAGGGGAATGCTAGCCACCACGGCTCGTCCCTCGAACCCTGCATAAACATTGCACTGAGCCAACTCCCACCAGAATACAACTGAGCAAAGCAAACCAGTAGAAATGGGCCCAGTCCCGCATTGTATGAACAAAACGCCTCGAACAAAGCACTGGCATCATGCCCACACCGAGCACCTGCACGCCCAGCAGCCCGCCAGCCAAGAAGCCCGGCCCCAAGACCACGAGGAAGACCACCAGGAAAGCAGGTAGCTGTAGCATGCACTGGGCGAGGAGGCGAACGAATTCAACCCGGCGTTGCCAGGAGCACCTGGACCTCAAGCGGCAGGGAGCGGCGCACCACCCCACATTAAGCCCCGGGACGACGGCCGAGCGGCGCTGCGGGGGCCCACTCGGGCCGACGTGGCTGCGGGGGCCCACTCGGGCCGACGTGGCTTGAGCCAAAATGGCTACGGGAGGGAGGAGGAGGGAGGAGGGAGGAGGGAGGAGGGAGGGAGGGAGGAGGGAGGGAGGGAGGAGGGAGGGAGGAGGGAGGGAGGGAGGGAGGGAGGAGGAGGAGGGAGGAGGAGGAGGAGGAGGAGGAGGAGGAGGAGGAGGAGGAGGAGGCGCGCGCGGCGGCCGGCGGCGGAGGCGGAGGCGGCGGCGGCGGGCGGCGGAGGCGGCGGAGGCGGAGGCGGAGGGCGGAGGCGGAGGCGGCGGGCGGAGGCGGAGGCGGAGGCGGAGGCGGAGGCGGAGGCGGAGGCGGAGGCGGAGAGGCGGAGGCGGAGGCGGAGGCGGAGGCGGAGGCGGAGGCGGAGGCGGAGGGCGGAGGCGGAGGCGGAGGCGGAGGAGCGGAGGAGGAGAGGAGGAGGAGGAGGAGGAGGAGGAGGAGGAGGAGGAGGAGGAGGAGGAGGAGGAGGAGGAGGAGGAGGAGTTGGAGGAGGGGAGGAGGAGGAGGAGGAGGAGGAGGAGGAGGAGGAGGACATGATGCCGGCATCGCGGCCCCTCTCTCGTCGCCACTGCTGGATCCGCCTTGAGATTCTGGTCAGAACGGGTGCAGTGAACAGCGGCCTCGGTATTTCTCTTCCTCTATCAGAAGCGGCAGCCGTGCATGTCGCGTTCCAGAGGGGGCCGCGCGTTCGGCGTAGCCTCGCCCTCGGCGGAAGGCGAGCCGGAGCTGGCGGAGGTAAAGCGGCGGCGGGCCCGCCGGTGGAAGGTCGGCGGAAGGCTCCGGAACGTTCTAGAGCGGGGCCAGGACGAGTACCAGTCCGTTCCAGAGCGTTCTGGAACGCTCTGAGAGCGTTACGGAACGCCTCGAGAAGGCCGCGGCGCCCGAGACATCTTCCAGAGCCGCTGGATCACAGAGACTCTCGACTTATCCTCGCCCGATTTTGTCCTCGTCCTGGCTTGTTCTTCATGGCGGCGGAGAGCAAAGTGAGGCGTCAACATTTTTGAATCCAAGGCTTCTCGAGTCGCCCACATGTGAGCCCTTCCCCTGCAAGTCAGACTGCCGAAAAAACGGCTGGGGTTCAGAATCCGAGGAACGTCTGTGGCCAGGCCGACCCCAGCGCGGGCGTCCGACACCCCAGCGTCACTGGGCCCGCAGGGGTGGGGTTCGCAAGTGGTCACAGACAGAGGGGGGTGGCCTCGGCGATCGAGGTCGTGAGCAAAAGCTTGGCTTCTGGGGTGCAGATTTGTGTGCTCGTGGCTCCTCTCCTGGCCCCCAGTGGAGTTGGGGCGTGAGCAGGGCGGGGTGGGCCGCGAGGGACGACGACGACGACGAGGAGGAGGAGGAGGAGGAGGAGGAGAAGGAGGAGGAGGAAGAGGAGGAGGAGAAGGAGGAGGAGGGGGAGGAGGAGGACGAGGAGCAGGATGGGGAGGAGGAGGACGACGTCGAGGAGGAGGAGGAGGAGGAGGAGGAGGAGGATGACGACGACGAGGAGGAGGAGGAGGAGGAGGAGGAGGAGGAAGAGGACCACGACGACGATGAGGACGAGGACGAGGAGGAGGAGGAGGAGGACGACGACGCGACGAGGCTTCCGGGCGGCTCTGGGGGCTTCCGCCCCGTCGGCTGGGCTCGGCTTACGGCACTGCCCAGGTTGGGTTTAAGTCGGGCGTGTCCCTCTACAGGAGGAATATTCGGAAATAGCCCAAAAATAGTCAGGGGACGATCTTTCGCCACTTTGAGCATTTTGTAAAATTATTTGTTTGTTGGGGGGGTATTTTGTATGTTTCGTCCAATATCCGCCTGTAGGGGGACGTGCCCGACCCAAGGCTGGGTCCCTCCCCACATGTCATGGTGCCAACATCGCAGAGCGGATTTCGTTCGGGAGACCATGGGATGGGCCCAGATGGTCGTGGAGAGTGTCGTTCCGGATTTCGAGGTGAGTTTCGTGCGGACGGTTTTGTGCCAGGAATGAAGACCACACCACAAATCCACGTGGAACTCGCTTCGTTCGCTCGCCGTTTCGGGGTTTTGCATTGACAGAGGTCCACGCGCAAGTCCGCTGCAGCACGTCTGCTAGGCCGGTGCAGTGACACACGAGCTGCCCTTCCGCCAAGGGTGTCTCGCTGGGGCGCGCGGAGGACCGCGCCTCGTGCCTCGCAGGGCGCCTTATGCGGGAGGCGAGGCGGGGCGAGGCTCGGCGAAGGGGGGTGGCCTGCCACGAGGGCGGGGTGCTCCTCGGGGGATCTCGGAGGCCTCTGCCCGGGCATCCTGGAGGCCGGGAGGGTCTCGGTCACGGGCGACGAGATTGCACGGTTTCCCCCGGGACCGTAGGCGACCCGACGAGGAGGAGGAGGAGGAGGAGGAGGAGGAGGAGGAGGAGGAGGAGGAGGAGGAGGAGGAGGAGGAGGAGGGGGGAAGGGGGAGAAGGCGGAGGAGGAGAAGGAGGAGGGGAGGAGGAGGAGGAGGAGGAGGAGGAGGAGGGGGAGGGGGAGAAGGCGGAGGAGGAGGAGGAGGAGGAGGAGGAGGAGGAGGAGGAGGAGGAGGAGGAGGAGGAGGAGGAGGGAGGAGGAGGAGGAGGGGTCGCCTAAGCCCGTCGGAGAAACCCTCCAGACGAGATCTGTGCACATCCGCCGCCCCAGGCCTGGCCCATCCTGGGCCCATGAGCGGTGTAGACGCCCTCCCTGGCTCCTGCTGCCCTCCTCAGGGGGCTCGCTCCCCTCGGCCCGCCCCCGTTCTGCACGGCGCTGCAAGGCTTAGATCGGTCATGTCCCTCTACAGGAGGAAATTCAAGAACAGTCAAGAAATAGTCTGGGGACGTTTTTTCCTACCATCTTTTGACTATTTTGGGTATTGTGTATTTGTTTCATTTTTCGCCCAGAATCCGCCAGTAGGGACACATGCCCGACCCAATGCAAGGTGCGCTGCCCAGAAGGCGCAGCCGATCGTGTGGTGGAACTGGATCGAGAGCGAGACCGTCAAGGCTGGCTGCAACAGAGTGGCGGCCGGGCTCTTCTATGAGCTCACCTTCCCCTGGACCAGGGAGAAGCTTCTGGAAAAGGGGCCCGAGTGGCTGACGAGAGCTTTTCATGCTGCTGGCACCCTGGATAGAGAGAACAAAGTTATCGAGCTCAGGGTGCAGGACAAGTGCCTGTTCATCAGTGATAGTGCTGACCAGATATTCTTCGAGGTGGCTTACGAAAAGGACGACCCTACACTGCACACGCAGCTAGTTGCCAAGGTGCCCCTACCGCTTGATGGCGAGACATACAGAGATCGACTAGTCTCGTCTTATTACAAGCAGCCTTGGGATATGTACGAGATTAATGCTCACAGGCTGTTCGAATCGGAGCTGCCCATGAGGATCGGCCGGTGGGCCGGTGGGTAATACTGCCAGGGTGGGTTTCGATTTTTCATGTACGTATACGTAAATGTATATATATATATGTATATGGGTAATGTATCCAGTTGCGCTGCCGCGCGATTCCGCCGCCGCGCTTGGGCGGGCGGGAGGGGGGCGGGTGCCTTTAGGGGGATGGAAGGGGGAGGGTCTATGGAAACCCCCCTTCCCCAAGGTTTATAATTCGGATCATTTTCTGCCTGGACGGCGGGACTTTGTCACAGCACAAAGCGCATCTTGGGCTGGATGCGTCGGGGGGCCCTAGTTGTTGCTTCGCAGAAGGGGATATGGCCTCACGCACACCAACTGCTGCACATGCGGTGGCGGATATGTACAGGTGTATGTATGCATATGCATATGCAAATGGAAGTATGTATGTATGCATGCATACATGCACACATGTACGTGTGTATGTATACATGGATGTATGTGTATCTATGTTTATATGCATGCATGCATGTATGTTTGTATGTCTACATGCATTCATGCATACATGTATGTATGAATAAATGTATGCATGCGTGCATGTATGTATGCATGGACGTACTTATGTATGTATGCATGTCTGTATGGATGCGTGTATGTATGCATGCATGTATGTACGTACGTGCGTATGCCTGTTATCTATATAGACACATCGATGTCTGTAACGATGTCTACTTTTGTGTACATGGTGGCATACTTCTGTTCGCACGTGTATAGGTTTAGCTGTATGCCTGTGCATCTGTACATGCACATGCACACGCGCAGACATACATATGCATTTGTACACTTGCATGCGTTTGCATACAACAAGGTATTTGTAGATGCGTATGCAGAGGCACATACGTATCATTACATCAACCTCTGCAGGTATTTGTGACTAGACATGCACACATGCTTTTGTATGTATGTATGTGTGTCTCTCTCTATATGTATATATATATATATTCACATATGGGCATACGTATGCATGCATGCATGTATATGCTTATATGTGTAAGCATGTGTACATACATGCCGGTCCACACATTTTGTTCACACACGTGTGAATGTACATGTATGTGTATACATTTAGGATCCAGTATATGTGCTGCACATACTGTAGTGGCCTCCGGCCAGTGCCGCCGATCCGGGGCGCTTCCGATGCTGCTCGGGTTCGCTTGGAGGCTGATGGGGCCGTCTTGCAGCTCTCCTGGGGCCGTCGCAGGAGGAGGCCTCTTGAGGGGGTCTGTGAGTCTCTTGGAGGCTTCTTGGAGGCCTTTTCGGCTGTCTTTTGGCGTCCCTGGCCCGTCGGACGCAGTCGGAAGCCGTCGTTGGCGCCTCGCTGTGCCGTTTGGGAGCACTCGGGGGTCGCTTCAAGGCCGTCTTGGGGACCTATGGGGTCGTCTTGGGACCCTCTTGTGGCCGTCTTGGGCTCTTGGGCCGTCACAGGGCCATCTTGGAGGCCTCCAGGGCGATCCTGGGGGCCTGCGGGGCCGTCGGGAGGCCGAGAAGAATGCAGGAAGCGCCCAAATCCTTCAAAAGCATACAGAAATCAATGATTTGGACGTCTTTGGGTTTTGTTTGGAGGGCATCCTGGGCCATCTTGGGTGCATCGTGAGCCGTCTGGGAAATATCTGGCGGCCATCTTGGGCTCTCTGACCCCTGGGGTTGGGATTTGGCTGATTTTTACGTGTCCCAGCCCTGGCAGAGCCCCCCCAACCGCCCCCCCAGCAGAGCTCAAGCTCAGGCTGTAGGCTGTAGCTTAGCTTCTTTGAAACTCACACGCTGGATCTGCGGACATTCGATACATATATATATATATACATACATATAGAGGTATTTGTGTTTATGCACATATCTATACATTTGTATACATGTATGCATGTATGCATGTATGTATGTATACATGCATGTATGTAGATATGCATGCATGCATGCATGCATATATGTATGCCTGTCTATCTGTAGCATGTATGTATGCATGCATGTATGCATTTATGTATGCATGCATTCATGTATGCATGCATGTATGTATGTATGTATGCATGTACACATGAATGCAATGCATGTATGTATATAGGTATGTATGTATGCATGCATGCATGCATGTATGTATGTATATGTATGTATGTATGTACGTATGTATGTATGTATGTATGCATGCATGCATGCATGCATGCATGCATGCATGTATGTATGTATGTATGTATGTATGTATGTATGTATGTATGTATGTAATGTATGTAATGTATGTAATGTATGTAATGTATGTAATGTATGTATTGTATGTAATGTATGTATGTATGTATATAGGTATGTATGTAGGTAGGTATGCCTGTATGTGTGTATGTATGTATGTATGTATGCATATAGGTATGTATGTATGTACGTATGTATGTATGCATGTATGCATGTATGTATGTATGTCTGTATGCATGTATGTATGTATGTATGACTGTATGCATGTATGTATGCATGTAGGTATGTATGTATGTATGCATGTATGTACATATGTATGTATGCATGTGTGTATGCATGTGTGTATGTATGCATGCATGCATGTATGTATGTATGTATGTATGTATGTATGTATGTATGTATGTACGTATGCATGAATGCATGTATGTATGTATGAATGTATGTATGCATGTATGCATGCATGTATGTATGTATGTATATATGTATGTATCTATGTATACATGCATGCATGCATGCATGCATGCATGTATGTATGTATGTATGTATGTATGTATGTATGCATGTATACATATGTATCTGTATGTATACGCATATGTGTACGTATGTACCTGTAGTGGTCCTTCGGGATCCTGTGGGCTCCTTGGGAATCTGCAGGAATCCGGGGGAATCAAGTTAATCTTTAGGGGTCCTTCCGATTGTTTAGGATGGCTCACGAATCGGCACCCAGACCAGGGCCGCAGGAATCCCTAGGAATTCGTAGGACTTTCAAGAAATTTTGATCCTCTGGAATCCTTCGGCAGCCGGAGGATTTTTTTTGGAATGCAGAGGAATCCGTAGGAGTGCTCACGTACCAGCAATCAGATTGGGCTTTCAGGAATGATTAGGAATCCTTCGGAATCCGCAGGAATTATGAGGAACCCCTGGGAATCTATAGGGATCTTCTGGAATCCTTAGGAATCCGGAGGAATCCTCAGGATGGCTCGCGGACGGGTGCCCAGACCGGGGTCTCAGAAAGATTTTTTTCAGGAGTAGGATTGCTCGGATCCCTGTGGATTCATCAGGGTTCATTCGAGGGACCGTCAGATTTAAGGATTGTGAGGATTCTTGCGGGTTCCTGAGGAATCCTTGGGAACCCAGAGAATTTGGACGAATCTTCACGGATCAGCACCCAAACTGGATTTCAGGAGTCTTTAGGAATCTGGAGGAATCATTTGGATTTTTCCATGAATCCTCACGGACAGTCACCCAGAACGGGACCTCTGCAATCCTTAGGAATTTCGAGGAAACCTTTGGTATCGCTAGAATTCCCAAAGATCCCTCAGGGTTCCCAGGAATCGCTCAATCCTTGGGGGTCCAAATGGATCTTTCCAGAATCCTCAGGGATCCTCAGGATTCCGGGGGAATGTCTGGTTACTCGAGAAGCCAGAGAAATCCTCACATCCTGGCACGCCGACCAGGGCCTCAAGAATTCTGGGGAGAGACTTCGGAATCCTGAGGAGTTTTGTAGAACCCACAAGAATCCTAAGGATCTCCCGGTGTTCTCCTGGATCTTCAGGAATCCTGATGATTCTGGAGGGATCTTGGGAATCGGTGGGAGAATGTTGGGACATCGATTGGAACATGCCGCCGAATCATCCGTCCATCCGAAACCTCAAGAAGGTTCAGTCTGAGCATAGCCAAGAGCTGATGGTGGACTCGATGCTCCCTCCCCTGGGAATTGGTGGAAGAGGAGGTGCAGGACTTCAGGATGGAAAGACAGGGAGGAAGAGGATGAGGACGAGGAGGAAGATGAGGAGGAGGACACCATGAGCAGTACAAATGTAATACCCTTCCACCAGTACGAGTACAACCCTCCTAACCCATTACAAGTACAGCTCTTGTACATGAGTCCAAGTACACAAGTTTTCTGCATCTTTACAAGTGCACAAGTTTCGCACACCAGTACACTTATACAACATCGCACGCCAGTGCAAGTACAGACTTTTCGCACGCCACACCAGTACAAGTACTACTCTTGAACACTAGTGTAATTACAATTTGTTGTACACTCGTACAAGTACAGCCCTTTCTATTCAATACCAATGCAGCTCTCGTACATTAGTACAAGTAAGCTTTTCGCACAGAAGAACATATGCAATTCCCGTACACTAAGACAAACACATTGATCGGACATTAGCTCACGCACAACTGTCTGATGCCAGTGCAGGATCAACTCTCCTGCAATAGTACAGGTCCAACTTTCTTACACAGGTACAAGCACAACGCTCTGGTGCTAGTACAGGTACAACTCTCTTACACCAATACATGTACAACTTCCTTGCAATAGTACAGGTCACCTCTCTCGTACATCTGCCACTGAGCTTGGGCTTCTTACACGGACCAGCGCCCTGAAAGGCTTTCACGGACCAGCACGCAGACTGGGCCTCGCCGAAAGCGATGCTGAACAAGCAAGCTGGTCAGCGCGCAAATCGGATTCCTTCTGTTTTTTTGGCGCTGGTTTCCTTCAGTTCCCAACTTCCCAGGAGATTCCCGTCGGAACCTTTCAGGGGAATCATGGAGATGCCCCCAGTCTGGGTGCCAGTTCGTTCAAGCCTGCGCCGGTCTGCGTGGTGGTCCGTTGCCCAGTAGTAGTGGTGGTAGACGTCGCAGTCGTAATCACAATCGCAATCGTAGTCGTAGTCGTAGTCGTGGTTTTAGTCTCAGCCGCAGTCGTAGTCGCAGTCGTAGTCGCAGTCGTCGTCGCCGTCGTAGTCGCATTCGTTGTCGTAGGAGCAGTCGTTGCAGTGGTGGCCGTTGTGATTGTGGTGGTAGCTGCTGCTGTCAGTAGTGGTTGGGAAGAAACGAAAAATGCTGATCATGGTGATGATTCTGAGGGGGAGGAGGAGCAGGAGGCGACCGCCGCGCACTCGAGCCCGTGGCCGTCCGCCGAGCTCCAGCAGCAGGGGCCCGGCGCGGCGCCCCGCCGCCGCGCGCGACGGGATGGCGCCGAGGCGCCGGTGCTGCGGCACCAACCCAGACGAGGTGCGAGACCAAGGGAAGCGGCAACGAGTCTCACAGGCACAGAGCTACACCGACGCGGTGTCCGTCCACCCAGACCGACCGATGCGCCAAATCTAATTATGATTGCCACCCCTGGTCTCCGCAATCAGGTGCAGTTCTGCTGTGTGTAGTTGTATATGTGTTCGAACGAGGGGCCATGCCGACTTGCAACAGTCGGGGAGCACCAGTGCGGCCATCGCCCAGCTGCACTTCGCCGTGCGCAGGGGCGGAGCGTGCCGAGTGAGCGGCATCGGCATCGGCAGGAGCGCAGGCACCGCGATGGCTGCCACAATAAGGGGAATTAGCGGCGCTCCTGAGGGCACCAACGCCGTGACGGCAACCAGCAGCGGCCTGATTGGAGCCACGGCCACCAGCGGAGTTACGGTGGCCAGATCTACGGCCACTGCGGGTACCACAGGAACCACAACAACTATTATCGCCGCTGGGGCCAACGGCCCGACGACCGCTGGGATTAGCGCAAAAACGACAGCTGCGAGACCAGGCCGCTTGAAGAGAACTTGGGCGAGGCTTCCGCCGGCCTGCGGTAGGGCGCCAATTAAGGTGTTCGCCCCAAGCATCCATACCTGATTCCTTCGCAGACGCCGAGACCATCATCACTGCGACCGTCCAAAACGAGATCCTGGAGGTCGCCAGCACCAGCAGGGCCGAGGTGGCGTTCCGTGATGGCACGTGCAGTGGCTATAGCGTATGGCAGCGGGGCAGATGCCCCCAAAACCACCCGCATCAGGAGAAACCGGCTCGCCACAGATCGCAGCAGCTGCAGCACCGATTTCAGGAGGAGAAAAAACACACAGACACAATTAATCGGCGATTCCCAGAAAATATGGGAAAATATGGGCAGTGGGGGGGAAGATAAAAACCCAGAAAATATAGGAGAATATTGGGATTCCTTTTACTTGTTTTTTATTTGTGTGTCTCAAGGCCCCTTCACCAATGCCACTCGCATCAGGAGAAACCGGCTCGCCACATATCGCAGCAGTTCTAGCACCGATTGCCAGGAGGAAACTTCTAATCTCGCTCGGAACAGCTACAGAACCGACCTCCCCACACTGGGCGTCGCGTACCTGGCGGTGGACCGCACCGCGAAAGCTGCGGAGGCTGCCTTGCGAGCATCGGACGGGGCCAGGACGAGGAGGAATCCGTTCCAGAGCGCCCCGGAGCGCTCTGAGAGGGCCGCGGCGCCAGAGGCATTTTCCAGAACCGCTGGATCGCAGAGATGCCCGACGTGTCCTCGCCGGCTGTCATCCTCGTCCTTGCTTCGCCTCAGAGGGCATCCGGCCGGCCGCGAGGCTGCACCCGCCAGTGCTCACGAGGCACAGCGCGCCAGCCTGGGGCCCCCGGGCGTCCTTGAGCACGCCGCGGGGGGCCCACCCCGGGCGCGCGGCCGGCAGTGCCCGCGCCCCCCGAGCGCCTGCTTGCCGGGGCCTCTCGCCTCGCCCGCGCTGCTCGGCGTTGCCCCCGGCGAGCAGAGCGGGGCCCGTGTCCGGCGCCAGCCCGCCAGCGGTCGCCGCCGTCTCGGCCGCCGCCATCGCGGCCGTAGTCGCCGCCTTCGCCGCCGCCGCCGCCGTCGCTGTCCCCGATCTCGATCTCGTCGTCGTCGTCGTCGTCGTCGTCGTCGTCAGGACACCCAGATTTTACTTCGGCGATATCAGCAATGAGACGTCCAATTACATCCTCGTCGTTGAGCAGGACGTCCCTCGTTGAGTGAGGGGGAGGGGGGAGGGGAGGGGGAGGGGGAGGAGGAGGGGAGGAGGAGGAGGGAGGAGGAGGAGGAGGAGGAGGAGGAGGGAGGAGGAGGAGGAGGAGGAGGAGGAGGAGGAGGGAGGAGGAGGAGGAGGAGGGAGGAGGAGGAGGTGGAGGAGGAGGAAAAGGAGGAGGAGGAGGAGAAGTAGGGGTGGGGAGGAAGGCGGAGAAGAGGGGGCTGAGGAGACGGAGCGTTGAGGTTTCTTGACGTCCTTGGCCTCCTGAGCCTTGGGGGGACCTTTGGAGGCCTCTGGGGGGAACTCTTCAGAGGCCTCGACGGGGGGAACCTCCAGGGATCGTCGGGACGGGGCGCTCCTCCTTTCGGAGGGTCGCCCAAAAGGCCGCACCACGCCGTGCGGCAACGAGCCCGCGGCCCCATCCCTGGGGGCCCCAGTGGCTTCTCCGCGGAGCGCTGTGCCTGCAGGCCCCGGGGCCCGAAGGTGGGCGCAGGTGCGGGGTCTTCGGCGCCCCGCGTGCTGCCACGGGCCCGTGCTGGAGCCGTCCCCCAGGCGGGCCGCCGGTGAGAAGCCATCAAGGAGGGAAGAGCGCACAGACACAGTTCAGCCTCGATGCCCCAGAAAGCATGGGAAGACATGGGAGGTGGGGGTGGGTGTGAAGGCGAACATCCAGAAGCTCTCGGAAAATATGTGGGGAATCTTGGGATTTGTGTGTGTGTGTGTATTTGTTCGTGTTTTTTGCCCACCTGCCGTTGGGCCGCTGCGTGAGGCCTCGGCCGGCGCGTAGCTGGTGCCTCGCGCGTTGCCTCTGCTTTAGTTTTCTCGCGTTTCCTCTGCCTAATTAGTCTCTGCGTAGCCCGCTTTGACCTGACTCGCCGCCGGCGCGCTCGCCCGCGGCCGCTGACTAAAAGTGTATTTGTTCGTGTGCCCCTGGGCCCCGTCAAGCGAGGCCACCCGCGGGTGCGCGAAGACGAGCGCGCGCGCGCGCCTCTGCGCGCGTCGTGGCTCGCGGTCTGGGCCGGAGCGGCTTTGCGCGCTGCGCGCGGGGGGCGCGCCGCGCGCGGGGGGCGCGAGGGCCAGGCGATCGCAAACATGGATCAGGGGGGTGGTGGTGGGTTAGCGACGGGTGCCCTTCTTCCATGGGAAATCGCGGATTTCCGCCGCCGAAAGAGGCGGCACCGGCCGCATTTTGTGGGCGCCCAACGCCATCGAAAGCGCGCGCGCTCGCTTGTGCTGCGTTGTGCGCGGGCACATTGGTACTTGCATTGCGCATGGTGCTGCATTGGTACGCAGGGGGCCCGCGCGCCACAGTGCGGCGGGGGCCCGCGCGCGGAGCTCCGTTATCTTCGCCGGCGGCTTGACAGCGAGGAAGGCCCAGTGAGCGTCGCTGAGTGGCTGTCTTCGGTGCGCGCAGCGGCCCTCCTGGGCGCATGCCCGCGCTCCATCGCCTCTTTCAAGAGCGGCGTGGCAGCATGGATCGCGTTCGCGCGCGAGGCTCTTGCGCTGCACGGGCGCGAGCTGCCGCCGTCTGCCGACGGGTTGTTCGCGTGGTCGCTGCTGTTTCGCTCCGACCAGACCTTTTCCCATTATGTCTCTCACGTCAAGCTGGCTTGTCAGGTTTGCGATCTCCCTGTAGACGTTTTTCGTGACACGCCCCTTCGCCGCGCCAAATGCGCGATTCGCAAGCGCGGCGCTTTCCTGCCCAGGGCGCCCCTATTCATCAGGGAGGACGCAGTTTGCGCGCTGCTAAATCTGGCAAAAGAGCGGCACGAGTCCGCCGTTTTCGCGCAGCTCTTTCTTGTCACGTACGTGTTTCTCTTGCGCCTTCCCTCGGAGGCCCTGGGCATTTCGTTCGACGGCGTCGCCTTTCGTCAGGGCGCAGGGGCTCCCCGCATTCTGTGCGACGGCCTCCTGCAGCTCAAATTGGCGCGCCGCAAGAACAAGGAATTCGGGTCCGTGCTGCAGCGAGCGTGCTGGTGCGCGCGCTGCACCAGGACGTGCCCGGTCCACGCGCTCGGCGCATGGTTCGCGGACCTGCCCGTGGGCACCAGGCCGTTCGCGGACATTAGCGCGGCCAGCTCGCTGAGCACGCTGCGCTTTCTCCTCGGTCAGCTCGGCGTCAAAGACGCGGCGCTCTATCGCACGCGCGACCTGCGGCGCGGGCACGCACTGGACCTCCAGCAGAGGGGGGGCACCTTGCGCGAGATCCTTCAAGCGGGCGAATTGTCCTCGCCTGCGTTCCTGTCGTACCTCGATTTGACGCAACTCGAACTCGGCGCCGTGGTCGAGGCGCATCTAGCTGAGTCCGAGGACGAACTTGCCTAGGCAATGGCGACCCAGGCGTCGCGCGACGCCCTCGCGCGTACGCCTCCGCCGCTGCGTGTCACAACACCGCGGCGCCGCCGCGCGCAACGCCCGTTTTGCAAGGGGTGCGCGTGCCGCGCGCGTCGCCGCTGCGCGGTGCACCAGCATGCATCGGCTGGGGGTACTTGCATCCCTGGCGCCCCGCGCGTCGGCTCAGACTGGCACCGCCGGGCTGGGCGGCGCGGGGGGTGCCGCACCCATTGTCAGGTGGGTGCGGGCACCCTCGGGCGCGGGAGGCTTCTGGCGCAGCTGAAATTTGTGGTGGGCGCCCAACGCCATCGAAAGCGCGCGCGCTCGCTTGTGCTGCGTTGTGCGCGGGCGCAAATTTCGCGCCCGCGCCTGGCCCGCGCGCGGGCGGGCAAGCTGGGCGCGCGGGCCGCCTCCCGCTTTCCTGCGCCGCGCGGCGCGCGGCCCCGCGAGAAGGGCCCGCGCGCGCGAGGCGGGGGGGCGTCAGCATGTGCCTCGCGGCGCGCGGCCCCACGCGAAGGGCCTGCGCGCGCGAGGGGGGGGGGGGGGGGGCGACGGCGCGTGCCTCGCGGCGCGCGGCCCCGCGCGAAGGGCCCGCGCGCGAGGGGGGTGCGTCGTCGCGCGCGTGGCTAGTCTGCTCTTCTGCTCGCTTTGCGTCGAACGCCCCGTGCAGGCGCGCCGCGGGGATCGCGTCGGGGCGGTTCGCGGCGCGCCTCGGGGTCGTGCGATGTGCAGGCATTGGTGCTTACATCTCGCAGGCATGTGCGCTTGCGTCCCGCCGTGGCGGACGGCGCGCGCGCTTTCGCCTCGCCCTCCCGCTCCTGGGGGTACTTGCATCCCTGGCGCCCCGCGCGTCGGCTCAGACTGGCGCCGCCAGGCTGGACGGCGCGGGGGGTGCCGCACCCCTTGTCAAGTGGGTGCGGGCACCCTCGGGTGCGGGGGGCTTCTGGCGCAGCTGAAATTTGTGGGGGAGGGCACCTCCCCCGATCCATGGTTTTGGCGACCGCGCGCCAAATCCGTGGGTCGCTAATCCGAGAGGAGAGCGCGGAGACGATCGCGCCTCGCGGGGCGAGAGCTTGGGCGACCTTGATCGGCGGCGAGCTGCGTACTGCTGCGAGGTTTCGGGTTCGAGGTTCGAGGTTTCGGGGCGTTTCGTTGGTTCTCGGCAGTTTTCCAGCCTCGGGATGCTTGCCAGCAGCTGCGCCTCGCCGAGGGCGTTCCGGGGGTGCCCGGATCGCCCCGAACGGCCGCCGGAGACCCGAGGTATGACCCAGAAACTAATTTCGGCGGCGAGCGAGGGGGGAAGTGAGGAGGAGAAGGCCTTTTCAGAAGTCGGCGGGGCTTCACTCAGAAGCCCTCGCGCGCCTTCCGAGGAGTTTTTTCGCTGTCCCCGAGGGAAAGACTTCGAAAACTTCTCAGAAGGCTGGGGGACTCCAGAACCTTCCGAGAAGGCCTTGTCTTTCTCACTTCCCCCCCCCAGACATGCGACGTCTTGTTTTTTTTCAGGACGGCGTCCCTGGAGGTCCCGACCCTTTCCCCGGGACCGGTTTTTCGTCTTGAATCGTTTTTTGACGGTCCTGAGGTCCGGCGAGGGCCTTTAGAGGCCGAGAACAGCGAAAAAAATTCGTTTCGATTTTTCAACACGTTGGATCTCTGGGTTCCCTCCTCGCTCGCCGCCGACTCGAGAGGGAGTGTGGAGGAGCGCGAGGGAAAGAAGCAGCGGGGGGCCACCAGTCGAGCCAGAGGAGGGGTCGGCGAGAGACTGGCGTTGTTTTTCTTTGGCAGCGTGCAGCCCGAAGACGGTGCCTCCTGGGGCGCTCTCGGGCTTGCTCTGAGTCGGGCATGTCAGGGGGAACATCAACAAAACCCTGCACGTCAAATAGTCCGGGGATGACTTTTCGACTCGTTATTGTCATTCTCTTTTTTTTTGGGGGGGGGGTTGTTTCGTTTCTCTCCATTTTGTTCTTATTTCTGTTGTTTTGTTTCGTTTCTCTTCATCTTTGTTTCTCTCTCCATTTTGTTTTTGTTTCGTTTCTCTCCATTTTTTGTTTTTTGTGTTTTTGTCTCGTTTCGCTCCATTTTGTTTTTGTTCCGTTTCTCTCCATTTTTCGTCCAACATCCGCCTCTAGGAGGGCACGCCCGACGGAGGGCCTGCTCTCGGGGCCGCTCCGCGGGCACGCCGTGGCCCTCTCGGGCCGCCTCCGGGGCCCCTCCTGCGGCCTCGGGCCGCGCCCCCGAGGCGGCCGTTTCAGGCTGCGGGTGCGTCGGGCGCGCCCCTCTGCACGAGGGAGATTCAAACAGAGTCGAAACATACAGTGCTTCGATGCTCGTTTTGGGGACCTTTTTGTGGCCCACCTAATGGATCTGTTTGCCTCCAGTTCGACTCCAGTTCGACTCAAGTTCGACTCAGGTTCGACTCAGGTTCGACTCAGGTTCGACTCAGGTTCGACTCAGGTTCGACTCGAGTCGACGGACGTTCGACGCAGCTTCGACGCACGAGTGGAGCGAGTGGCTCCAGGAAGGTCCCCAGAACGAGCAGCCAACAGTGCCGTTTTTACCATACATGCTCCGCGTGCGGATCATGCATTACAAATGCAGGGATTCAGTCTTACAAGCAATGATGAGTTGATACATATTTTTTTCATAAATGATTCATGTATTAAGAATGCTATGTTTTTGAAAGTCCTATGTATTAAAAACTGCCCTGCAGTCTAGGAACGTTTTTGTTTGTTTTGTTGGTATTATCTTGACATGCCCGTCTATGT